CATTACAACCATACCACAGAAACACAAAGAATCATTAGAGAGTATTATAAACAACTATACCCAACAAATTTGAAACCTGAAGGAAATGGATGAATTTTTGAACACATACAACCTGCTGAGACTAAACCAAGAAAAAATAGAAAACCTATACAGACCAATAACAATTGGTTGTACCAATAACAATAAGCAATGAGACTGAAGAAGTAATCAGCAGTATCCCAAAAAAGAAAAGTCCAGGACCATATGGCTTTACTGCTGTATTCTACCAAGTTTTTAAAGAGGAATTAATACCAATTGTCTTCAAACTATTCCAAAAAGTTGAAACAGAGGCCATTCTCCCAAACTCATTCTATGAAGCCAGCATCACCCTGATACCAAAACCAGACAAAGATACAACAAAAAAAGAGAAAATTACAGGCCAATATATTTGATGAACACAGATGGAAAAATCTTCAACAAAACATTAGCAAACAGAATACAGCACCATATAAAATAAATTATATATCGTGATCAAGTGGGATTCATCCTAGGAATACAAGGATGATTCAACATAAGCAAGTCAATAATATGATATACCACATCAACAAAATCAAGGACAAAAACTATATGATTATTTCAATAAATGCAGAAAAAGCATTTGATAAAATTCAACATCCCTTCATGATAAAAACTCTCAGCAAATTACATATAAAAGAAAAGTATCTCAACAAAATAAGAACCTTATAAGACAAATCTACCACCAATACCATCTTGAATGGGGAAAAGTTGAAAAGAAAAATATAAGCTTGTCCACTTTCACCACTCATATTTAACAGTATTGGAAGTACTAGCTAGCACAATTAAGCAAGAGAAAGAAATTAAGGGCATCCAGACTGGAAAAGACAAAGTCAAAATGTCCTTGTTTGCACGGAACATGATCCTAAAGAGTCTACAAGAAAACTCTTTGAGCCAATAAACAATTTCAGTAAATTAGAAGGATACAAAATCAACACACAAAAATCAGTACTATTTTTATTCTCCAATAACAAACTTCCAGAAAAAGAAATCAAGAAAGCAAGCCCACTTGTAATAGTCACAAAAAAAATAAAATAAAATGCCTAGGAATACATTTATCCAAGGATGTAAAAGATCTCTAGAACAAGAACTACAAATCACTGCTGAAAGTAATTAAAGAGGATGCGAAAAGATGGAAAGACATTCCATGCTCTTAGATTGGAAGATTATCATTTTAAAATGTCCATACTATCCAAAGTGTTCTACAGATTCAGTGCAATCTCTTTCAATATACCAATGACTCTCTTCACAGAAATAGAAAAAATAATACTAGCATTCATACGCAACAACGAAAAGACCCTGAATAGTCAAAGAAATCCTGAGTAAAAAGAAATAAAGCTGGAGGTATAACATTACCTGACTTCAAGTTATACTGCAAATCTATAGTAACCAAAAGAGCATGGTACTGGCATACAAACAGACACTCAGACCAATGGTACAGAATAGAGAACCCAGAAATCAAACCACATACTTACAGTCAACTGATCTGTGACACAGGCATATGCTGGGAAAAAGACTACCTCTTCAATAAATGGTGCTGGGAAAACTGCACATCCATATGTAGAAGAATGAAACTAGATTTGTAGCTCCGTATACCAAAATCAACTAAAGAATGGATTAAAGACTTAAATATATAACCTGAAACTATGAAACTCCTAAAAGCATAGGAGAAACACATCAGGAGGTAGGACTGAGCAAAGACTTTATGAATAATACCACTATAGGACAAGCAACAAAAGAAAAAATAAACAAATGGGATTATATAAAACTAAAAAGCTTCTGCACAGCGAAAGAAACAACAGAGTGAAAAGACAACCTACAGAATGGGGGAAAATATTTGCAAACTATCCATCTATCAAGAGATTAATATCCAGAATACACAAAGAACTCAAACAACTTAAGGGTAAAACAAACACGTAACCTGATTATAAAATGGGCAAAGGAGCTGAATATGCATT